AGGGCAGCTTTTTGAAGAAATATAGCTGACTCGGAGCGGGGACACGCCACTAGCTTCGTCTAGGAGATTGAAAGGATAAAAATAAAAACATATAGAACATTCCTTCATTTATATTTTAGACATATTTACAATGCAGTCTGATATATCTCCTCCTCAGCTAACTGCCAGCTTTTCCCATTATTCTTTACTCACCTAAGACGGGTTGATAACACTAGTAATATTTTAGAGAAGTTCTTTGTAAGGCAGAAACATCAAATGGAAGGATTGTTTAGCTAGAGGCCCTAGTTGGTAGATAAATTATGGCATTTTTATCCTGATGGTCTTTTTATGCATCTTGAGAGCTGGCAGGTTAAAAATAAAGGAGTTGTCATCTTAAACGGCTGAAATCCCACTGGCTGGAGCGACCTCTTCAAAGTTGAGCTGCAGCTGAACCACTGTGTCCAAATGTAGCTCCAGGATGAGCTATTGCTCTCTTCTCTAGCATGAGAAAATCCTCTGCAAAATCCCTTGCACCAATACTACCGTGGAAGTGTCTCCACAGGGAGCCAGTTGCTGTCAATACAAATTTGTTTGGGCAGAGTCTTAGGAGAAGATTCCTTGAAAAGCAACCCAAGGTAGAGAGGGAGGACAGGGCACAATGAAGGACTGCAGCATAGGCTGGGGAAGCAGGCTGCTCTCCAGCCCGACATCCGAGTATTTTGTTTTTGCCATCCTGAGTATCTGCAAAGCAGAGGACACAAAAGATGACGAACAGAGTGAATGGATGGAATAGGGAACAGAGCTGGTCACGGTGCCTGGCATTCCTTTAGGAAACACCTTGCTGCTGGAGGAGACAGAATGAAAGACATTCCTCCGTACAGGTGGTATCTAGAAGTGAGAAAGACGGGGGCTGCCTTTGGCCATTGCAAAAGGACTTCAGAATTGAAGAGAGTCCTCCTAACGTGCAGAGATGGAAAATGCTGGAGAACCAAAGAATTATCTGCCAACATTTAAAGCAATGTGGGACATCCGCAGACTAAGGATCGAGTGGAAGAGGCTCACAGAGCCTTAAAGACACTTGTATGTCATTTGACATGCCTGAGCCTCGCAGCAAGGATGGCACATGGTAACTCCAGCACTAACACGATACATGGCATGTCTCTGCAAGAATGCTGGATCCACACTTACCAGCCTCCTCTGGGAGGAGAGGGAAGAGATTGGCTTTAGTACCTGAAACCATATGGCCATAAACCCTAGGCACTGGGCGCAGTTCACTGGGGAACTGCAGAGAAACGTGGCTTAGAGAACTGTTTCAGCAAGCACAGAAAGGCAGCCTAGGGGAGCCAGGGGCATCGTCTGGCCATCCACTCTGCCTCTTGATGTCTGACTGCAGCAGCGGTCATTAAGATAAGAAAACATCCGTAGTAATCTACGCGTTTGATCACTGAAATGTACTGGTAGGTATGTGTTCCATGGAAGGGAATACAGAGAAGGGAGAACAGGGAGAGATATGTCTCAGAGTGCAAACCACAGATTTGAGAAAATCCAGAGATACCAATGGTTACTCATTACCCTTAACGTCTCTTACTTCTTTGCTTTCCCCTTGCTGTCATGTTGCTAAAGTACTCAGGCTGTTATGCAACACATTTGGCACTGGAAAAGCTTCAAAGCGGTAAGACTATAATTTCATATATTTAATTTTTAGAGAGGGAAGAATGAAAAAAAAAAAAAAAGAAAGAAAAGGCAATTTTAATCATGTTTAATTCCTACAATAAGTCTTCAGTTCCAACCTGGCATAAGAAGAAAATACAGGGGGCTATAACCCATGAATGCAGACAAATTTGGAGAAAAAAGCAATACAGTAGCAGAGATAGAAAGAAATTAGGAAAAATATTAAGGAAGAAATAACATACACAATATGATCTACTTCAGAGTTTACAAATTACTTCAAAAATTTTAAAAATTACAGCCTTCTAAAAGCCCCTTGACTTGCACATTGTCTTTCTTATTGCACTGGTGAAACAGAGTTCTTCATGACTGATCAATTTCCCCCACTGTTTTTAATATACATATACCTTAGCACGGAAGTCTACACTTGGAAGTGTATTTATTTTATATATTATATATATATATATATATATATATATTTGTGTGTGTGTGTGTGTCTATAGATTATATTCATGTTCATATGTATGTATATACACACTCATACATTAATATGCATTATATATGTTAGAACTACAAGGAGTTAATTCAGTAAGGACTAACAACAAAAAATAAAACTTAATCAAAATTAACATCATCCAATTTTGAAATGCCTTTTTTTTTTTTTAAAAGGAATTACATATTCAGTTGTTATTGGTAGGGTCGTCATATCAATATCTGAATGCCTGTATGTGATTTACAATACAGGACTCTCAGATACTCATTTACACGCTAAAATCATTAAGGCAAACTTGAATTAAGTGAAACACTTTGCTATTTTTACTTTGGACAACTTAATTTCCTAATAAAGCTAAGAAATATTAGTCTAATGCATTTCAAATGCTGGCAATTTGCTGACTGCAGCAGTATACAGAGGTTTCTCTGGGCAAAGAAACTTCAGTGAAACCTTAGCCCTGCCTAATAAAGAAAGCGCTTCCACAACTACTCATGATTATAAAAATCAACTGCATGATGCTTATGAGTGACATGTCTTATCTCTTACTGCCTTATTTGAAAATATTAAAAATATTTGTGAGATAAGAACAATGAGAGTTTTTTTACCCCCCCGAGCACTTTTCAATCCATACATTTTACCTATTGCAGTTTCCTCCAGGCATTCTTACCAGAACAAGAACCACCTAAGAGCAGACGTACCCATGTCCCGTTCCAGGATGTGCCCATCGCGCGTTTGCTGGAAGCCAGGAATAGGCCGTGTGGTGAGATACCAGACTGCATGCAGAACATCTGTGGCGTGGACACGATTGTGATCTGCAAATAAGCAAAGTATTAGCTGAGCTGCTTTCTTTAAACTCTTTGGCTCCAGACTTGGTGTTTAAATTTCCTAATAAATTCCACACTAAATTTTAGAAATTATTTTTCTAAAAAAAAAAATTGTAATATTTTTCAAATTTGGTCTAAACATAATACTTCACATTTGCCTTTTGCTTCTCAGTAACTTTTATTTGACATGATGTAATTCTTATTCTCTTCTTTTTCCTATTTGTTTTACAAAACTTACTAAGAACATTTTGAAGTCTTTCCAGAAGGAAATGTCATCTAACACACATCTATATTAACTGTCTATATATTTTTTAAAACAAGAAAGTTAATTTTTAAATGTAGTAACACACACACAAAAAAAAATCAGAAACAATGGTCTCGGTCTAACAGTGCAAAGAAACAGGACCAGAAAAATAAAGCAAGACAGAAACATCAGAATGGGCTTGGGGCTTCCACAGCACTTCATGTGAAGTTAACTTTATTCATCTAAAAATCATGCCTATTGCTCTAATTTATCAAATATTTAATTACTTGCTTTGGTGTGCTCTATTTTCATAGAAGTACCAGGGCAACAAACACTGTAGAAGAGTCAGTAAAATGGTAAGTTATTTCCAGATTAATAAGATTTCCCAGTTAATTGAACTTGTCCATTTATGATACGAAATTAAAATAAATACAGTTAAAATAATATTTCTAATAGTCTCGAGGGGTAATATTGTCAACATTTTTCCTTGTAAAAAACAAACAAAACAAAAAAGCAAAAAACAAAAAAGAAAAAAAAAAACAAACAAAAACTCCCACACCTTTTGTGATACATAAGCATGAGTATAGAAACCGGATACCGAAAGACCATATGGAACAGCCAAAAAAATAGTGTAAAAAGATGTGTACGTTTATGCCATACAAGAACGACCAGTCTCATTAGGACTTAACTTTTTAAAAATTCAGAATGAGACAACCAAAGCATCCCGAAAAAAATAAGCTTAATTCTTGTCAAAGTGCACATAGATAATTCTCCTTGTGTGCAATGTTCCCTTGCGCTGAGAAGGTCGCTCCTGCAGCGGCCGCGGTCAGAGCCAGCCTGCTCTCTGCCAGCAGAGCCTACTTGAGCGGCTGCACTGGACAAAAGGCTTCCACGAGTGCCTGCACTTCTTCCTTTGTCTGTTTTTAATGCAAGTCAAACACTCATATATGTCTAGATTTCAGTATGTGTAGGATCCAACCTTCAAAACCTTAAGTGTTGCTAGTGGGTGCAAAAAAATCTGATATTTGGACAGATCAAGTGATTATCTACAGGAGAGGCGTAAGGAAGATGTGTACATGAAGGAGGGAGGCAGAGAGGGAGGGGGTTGTTTGCTTTCCATTTTCACCTAGCCTTGTTACTGGGTTCTAAAAAAAAGGAAAATGGTAACGGGTTGAAAATATGACATCAATTACTGCAGGTTTTCCCCAGGTTCAGGGCCTGGGTCTGTAAGGCCCTACTCGGGATGCTGGTCTTGTCTTGCACTGAGTGGGAACTTCATGTCTCTTCTGAAAAAGCTAGGAATGGGAACGGGAACTTATGTATGAGGGGAAAGGTATTTACTTGCGCAGGTCCTCCACAAACAGCTAAGTGGGAGGCACAAAAAAAGTTTAGTCACCCGTGAAACAGCTATTTAACTGATACGATGAACACTAAATACATTTTGAAGGACAGACGTAAAATCCAAAAGATGTTACTAATTTGGAACAGTAATCCAAATTTGACTAGAGGCCAGTCAGCAAAGGCAGCAGAAAAGGGCTGCACTAGAGGACATCGAACAAGCGAATATGAAAGGGATAATAACCAGCCAGGAAAGGGGCTGCGGAAGGGGCTAGGGAGAGGGATCACAGACTGACCAGAGAACTAAGCATGCTATAAAAGAGGTGGCAAGGGTGCAAACCTGAAAGCAACTGTTCTGGTGCTTTTGGATATGGAAAGCCAGAGAAGATCTAGAAACATGGTAAGTGTAATACAAGCACAAGGAAAATTAATTGATTTTGTTTAGAAAGAGGGACTTGGCAAAAAAAAGTAAAAAAACTTCAAAATAGAAGAAAATTCATTTAAAAGTTTGGACAACTGTTCAGTCTATTCACCAGAGAATATCAACAGAAAAAAAAAATCTAAAAGGGCAAATATTCTATAAGGGACACTTGAATGAAATATAATAGAAAAAATGAATTTAAATGGGTAATAGAGGCTGTATCACTGACTGCTTTCAAGAAACAAGTTTGCTAAACACCAAGCATCTACCTGGCATAATTCATCATACTTGTCAGTTGGAAGGGAATTTAGTGATGCTTTAAAATCAGTGCTGGTGAGCTGCTCACACTGCAAGTGATCTGACACCTACGGGAATTTGAGTTGGCTCAAACTTTTTTCTTCAGTAAGTTTGATTTATCTACTCATACAAATTCTGAAAGATCATATTGAACTTATATGTTAACAAATTAAGTTTTTCAGTCCACCAATTTTTCTGTAGTACATCAAATAATTTCAAAATATATGAATTTAAAATATATTAAACTTGGACATCATATATATCTATATTAAACATTAAACTAAAATACATACTAAAGGGCATATGCTACTATAAAAAAAATATTTAATTGGACATTACTTACAGGGAATATCTCGGTAGCCATTTTCAAGTGCACAGAAGTAATTCATGAATTCTTGAGTTGGGATTTGGAAAATTTCAAACAAACCAGTATCTTGAAACAAGGTATAAGTTACCTAAATACATATTAAAATCAACTTTAGTCTGAAAAGTCACAACATCTAAGCCTACTTTGCTTTCGAACTTTAAAAATATTTCTGATTATTAAATGTTGCTTGCTGATAGAGATGGAAATTAGTGACATTCCATTAAAGAGTATTTAAAAGCTAATAAAGCTTAATTTTTTTAAGCTTTTCTTGGTGCTAAAAACATTTACTATTCTCTCGGGTACAAAATGGTAAGTTTTTACTTTTCTACTGATAAATCCTATGTGTAACTGATTACTTTTAATAATAATCTCCAAGCCTTTGTCATGTTAGAAAACGTATGCTTTGTCCCATTATTTACCTAAAAAGAAATCTAAATTCTTCTATTACTCAAAATTCATAGAATCATAGAATGCTTAAGGTTGGAAGGGACCTCTAGAGGTCATCTAGTCCAACCCCTCTGCACACGCAGGGTCACCTAGAGCACGTGGCACAGGACTGCATCCAAGCGGGTTTTGAAGCTCTCCAGAGAAGGAGGCTCCACAACCTCAATTCAGATCACCTTAGTACAGAAAACAATAAAGAAATGAATTTTCTGTCTATTTTTCAGCCTTTGGCAAAGAAATGCTATATTTTATTCATTACTGCTTATCTAAGCTTTTAAAAAAAAGGTAGCTAACATTTTTAAAATGTATGCAGACCATACACGTGTGTATATTGTGCAAATGTATTTAATTTGCAAGTAGAACATAGCGACAGCCAAGCACTTAAAAACTTTAAAGAGACTGCAAAAAATAAGGAAGCCTTTCAAAACAAGACACCACTTCTCCTTTTGTCATGTCTTTCACACACTTGAGAGAAAAAAGTTGAGAGTTCAGAGTTTAGAGTACGGGAAGTCTCAAAAGTTCATGAGCACCAAGCGAAGAGAGGTTCCTCCTTCAACCCATCTCATCCGCCCTCCTTACCCAACCAGAAGTAAAAATGCTCCCCTTGAGTGCATATAGGTGTTATTGATAGAGCATGCTGCTTCTTCCACTTGAATGCAAGAGGAAGGAAATAGAAGAAAGGATGGGGAAGGGGAGAGGAGGAAACGCAAGCAGGGGCGGCGTGCACAGGAGCTGCCCCAGCAGCGCTGGGCAGGGCGCTGCGCGCTGAGCTCCTGCAGCCGGCGCCTATGGGGAGCCCCAGATACCATCACGGAGGCACCTCAAAAACTACCGAGGTGACCAAGGACCTGGAATGAACTGGCAAGGTTTACTTAGGAAGCTCCAAGAGCTCTGAAAAACACTTTTAAAATACTGCCAGCTTTTGCTGAACAAGACTAACTGAAGATTTAAAGCAATACCCAGAATATCTTGTATTATAGGTGCGGGTACCAAATGATGCACCTTGGGATGCAGGTTGGGAACCAAACTGCATCTAATGACAAAAATGAGATTACCCCCATTGCTTTTTCTTCTCTTCAATACAGGTGCAGATCTACATTTTGGCCTGCACCTGAGTGCTTCCAACCTTTTTTCTTGGCTAAAACTGCTTGTTGCTCTCACCTCCCTTGGACTAGCGGCAATTCTAATTCAGGAGGGAAAGTTAAATTGCTAGCAAAAACAAAACAAAACAAAACAAAACAAAAAACCCACACACTTCGTTGTCAGATCAGAGCCAAATTCAACCTATACTATAGACCTATGCTAGATCCAGCATTAAGGACAGAGGCAAAAACTTCCCAGTGACATTGATGGGTAGGAGAAGCTGGGGGAGAGCAAACAGGATCAGGGAGCACTTTGTGGCAGGTCAGGACAAGAGAAAAGGGGTACTGCATGCAAGAAGCAGCAGGGAAAATGTCCCATTCTTTGTGGGATCAAGAGGCAATGGGCTGCCTAAAAGATCATTCTGCTTCCCCCACAAGCATAGCTCTGGTAGAAATATTTTAAGGAAATAAAGGAAAAAGAAACATTTGACAAACATGGTAGAAATTCTGAAAGCAAGAGACAACTTTTCATAGGAAATGGAACATCAATACAAAACCTATTCCAATAAGAATGAGTCTAATCTACTTGAGATTGAGAATAAAAAGCAGATTTAGTGCAAGCGCTCTGTAAACAAAACACTTTGTGGTGTACAAAAAGATGGAGTACATGAGAAATGATATTTTTACTTTTCAAGCTAGCATTAACATGAACTTGACTGAAAAGCTTCTCTAGAGTTTAAATAAAATACATAAGCATGACAGCTTTATACACCCTCCCCCATACAATGAAATACCACAAACCTGGCTAAGGATCCTTCCAGACTGGTCTCCCAATTTCTGCACAAGGTCAAAAATTTGGAAATTCCAATTGTTCATCTTCTCCATTAGTGAATCATGATCTATTGACACCATCTCTAATGAAGGGCTCTGCTCCATCTGTATGAGAGGAAGACACTTCATCTCTAAAGGAAGACTGGAAACTAATCTCTGAATTACACTGACCAATAAACCTATGAAAATGATAAAGCATTATTGAACTAACTGTATGCTGCAGTAACTGTGGCTATAAGAAAATCCTAAATCAATGATACAAATAGCCCAGTTAAAAGCTTGGCTTTTCACACTCTTGGGCAGCAGGTTCCAGGCTTTCTGTGGATGGTGCTAAATTTTCACTCCTAAAAAAAAAAAGTCAATAAAGCAGAGCAAAATTTGTGCAGGCCAACAAAACTTATTTGCTGAGTTTAAACAGTTTATTAATTGAAGTAGCTTTAAAAAAGTGATGTCTTAAACCCCAAACGTTAGCAGAGCTTATTACGCAGTCTCCTTTCCCCCACTTTCAATTTAGTGCACTGTACAACTATTCAGCCAGTCTCGCTTAACCTGATACTTTTTTCTTTTGGTAAACTTTCAATAGAAAATACTGGTCAATCAGCGTGTGAGCATACTTACGTACATTAAATGTGCACAATTTATTTTTGCTTAAAAAAAAATGTAATACAAATGAGCATCTTTTCACTTCCTAGTGAAATTTATCCAAGGTAGAAGCACACCATTATTAAATGAAATTTTGAACTCCAACAATGCACCATTTTCCTTCAGATATTAAAATTCTTAGAAATGCAGGAACCTCTTTACAGCATATTAGAAATCCCAAAGAAATTCTGTATAAATTACTGCAAATATTTTTGTTATTACATGCTTACAAGTTGATTTGGTGTTTGATGACTCTCTTCCTCCCTTTCATCTTGTTTCCTCTCTGTGTGGTGGAAAGATTCTTTTGAAATACCAGGACTTCCAATTTCACCTGAAATAGGTCCATAAACACTATCAATAGTTTGTAAATAGCTGCTGTGCAGCAATTCCTTAAACTGCATATATCAGATTAATAGCTTGTTTCATAACCATTTTTCCTTGAGAGTGTCACAATAAGTTGTATAGGAAAAAAGTTAGGAAAAAAAAAAAAAAAGAAAAAAAGGAATCTATTTAGAGTGTTAGAAAAGCCAGAAGCATCACTAAGATAAAACATATGTATATAAATTACCTGAAAATATTTTAAAGTAAAAGTTATGCAGAAATACAAAAATATTAATTGGTTATCAAGAAAATATAGCAAGATTTGCATATTTGGAACTCCTACCTGATTTTCCTCCCTTGTATTCTGCAGATTCTGCTTCTGGTGTTGGAACAGGCTTGAGTATCTGACGTCCACAGCTTACAGAATATAGGGAAATATTTAAAACATTCAGTAATTTTCTTCTTTTGCTACTGCTGTATTGAAAAAGTATCTGCAAATTGCTCTAAGTTATGATTTTTAAGGTTCCTGCTTAGAAAACCACCATCCTCCAGCCAACCTCCCCCAGACACACTGCCATGCATTCATACAGTAGGGACAATTAATTACATGATATCCCTTATTTTCAGTACTATTAGATACAGATGTTACATATTTTAATTTGAAACATATATGAAGTAACCAAATTTATACTTGAGACTTTACAGTACCTGTTACACACATAACCTGCAGGTGTTCTAACTTGCTGAAGATCTGGAAAATTAAATGTGGATCCCAGAGGCTTATGTATATTAATGCTTGGTTTTGTAAGAAAGTCAGCAGTATCAGGAAATTCTACAGGGGACCAACTGGAGACAGATCCATGACCAGGTGAACCCAGAGGATTCAGGCCAGGAGAAGCACCTTCAAAACAAACGTTACATTAGGTTCAGTTTACTTTTTTCTTTGTGTGTGTGTGTGTGTGTATGTCTATATATGCATGTATATACACACACATTATATATATATACAGATTTCATTATTTTGATGACATATATTAAGTCAACATGCAAGCTTTCAAAATCTTGTGGATATCTCACGCAGTTAAACATATATTAAGTAGCAAGACAGATTCCAAGTTTTGAGATCTACAAACATGAAGCCCAGTAGAGGCTACACATCGGAATGGCAGGCTATATAATCCAAATCTTTTTTTAAAAAAAAAAAAACTTTGGCAAAAAGCTGAAACTTCCTATATTCTTTGTCTGATTCAGGATTTTTTTGCCTAGAAAATTTCATGAAAAATAACTCCATATTGATAACTAACTTCAAAATATTTTTCCTCATGGCTTTGCAATTGAAGGAAAATATACTTGATGCATTTAAAAAAAATGAAAAAAGTCGTAACCATATTTTTGAAGAGACTAAAGCTGGAAGGTACTGGCCTTTTTGAGTGATGTGTCTTATCATTGTGAAAACGTGCTCCATTCTTGTCTAACAAGTCCCCCCACGCCCCAATTAGATCCCTAAAATTCCCTATCTCTGTTCAAACAGCATTCAGCAGAGTTCACTTCAAGCTCATGTCTGTGAAACACAGGAAAGCAAACGAGTAAATCCAAACAAGGGCTAGTACGAATCTGACATTAAATTTACAAAAAAATTATAGATTACGCCCAAAGGTTTTTATTTTCATCTGTAATTTATGCAAATGATAAGTAATGCCCGAATGCTCAAGGGAAGTTACACCCATTATAAAAATACTTTCATCAAACAGAAGGTGCCCTTTCTCAAAGGTTCGAAAAACAACGTAAGAAGGTATTTTATTGACATCCCATAACTGAACCAGTGGTTCTACTACATACTACAAAACAATAATTTCATTAAAAGTTACCTCAAGTTTCTATCGGATATTTTAGGTGCATCTAAATGACACCGCTCCAATATAAAAAACTGCAGTGCTAAAACATCACATATGTTAAACGAACATGGCAACTTTCAGCTGGTATCAACCACTGAACATAATATTTGGCAGAGCCAAAATGAGGAATTTATTTGAGATTTGTGCAAAGTTGACAGTGTTGACTATAATTTTGAGTAGCCTTAGAAAGGGATTAAAAAGAAAAACTTTAAAAATATATGCTACATGTTGATGTTATGTTAGTAGCATATTGATATGAAAGAAATGATGATAACACATGATATACTGTAAGCAGTTTGATTTAAATCTTCATATGGTATCAGTCTTGACACCCTGCCATTAACCTATAGAAATTATATCCCCTTACCTCCTCGCCTGGGACTTATATGGTGAGCCAATGTTAAAGATGACGATCTTGGTTTTGGTGCTGCCGGTAGGTTTGCCCCAAAAGATCCATTTGAATGAGATCCTTGGCTAAAAATAAAACAATAATACCTTTTCTTTATTGTCTTTATTCAATGAAAAACAGCACTACAATGAAGCCAAGTTCAAGATGAGCTAAACAACAGCTATCAGCCATGCAGAACAGAAAGCAATACAGAACCATACACAGTCCTAGAAAGACACAATGGAAGCCTTCAAACGACTTTTCACTTTCTAAAACGGCTTTTCCTTTTCCTGCATGTTGCCTAGAAAGCATACATTATCTTCCTAAGTAATTCCCCTAACTATTGATTTACTAGCTAGCCCTTTTCACAGAATATTAACAATTTATTTGTTGCCAACGTTTTTAAATGAACACTATGGATAGACAAGCTTTCAAGATAATTTAAGGAATTTGAATTTGCTGAAGCATTGTGTGCATAATTGCTTAAAATACTACTGCTAAATATTACACAAAACTACACAAATTTATTCTTTTGTGATTTATCTATCTTAAACTTAAAATCATTTCTAAAGCTAATGAAGTTGCACTGTACTTCAGTAGCTGCAGCACAGTGACCTCAGTTGTTACGTTCTGCCATCTGCTGCTACAGGCAGGGAATTGCACTCCAAAATTCCAATTAAGTTTCCTTTTTATAAACAAAAATGTGAAATGTAATCAAAAGTAACTACGTAAATGTACCTGAAAGGGAAAATCCTTAAGGTAAAAGTGATTATTACACTTCACTATAGAAAAAGCTGTAGTTACCCACACGGATCTGACTTTGGTTAGTCAGATATCAAACAATTTTTTTCAAACTCAAACTTGACCTACCACTATTGGCTTACATTTACAAAGTTAAATATGTGAACTAGAGAATAAAAATGGATGTATTACTCCGAAGTTTGATGTCTGCATGTTAAGGAACTTTGAACAACGTTTGGGGGTTAATGACTTTGATGAATCAAATCTTTCACTACTTGCACATTGTTTAGTCTTCCTAACTTTGGTGTACTCACTCAAAGCACAGAAAAATTCTGCACTGCTATCTGTGGTGCAAGATGACAAGCCAAATCAGGAATTCACAGGCAAATAAAAGAGTTGCATCGGAAAACTGCCTGGACAGAAAGAAAAGCTTCTGGAACATTAAATTATTTTTATAGCAATATTTATTTATTATACCACCATGTAATATCAGCCCATCTTCCTCCACTCAGCTGGGCTCCAGCTGCCAGGCGGGACTGGGGCACTCCAAGAGTTGGCCGGGACCTTGTAGGGAGCGCAAGAGAAGGGACCGAGAGTGCAGCCCATTCAAGGGTGGTGGGTGAGGGAGGGCAGGGGCTGGTGCAGAGCTGAGGAGGGGGAAGGACACCCTGACAGGGTCTGGGAGGCACCTGGGGACAGGGGATTATCTAGCGATCACGCACTGAGATCGTGGGCGTCTTCTGCTTGAGCAGTTTCTTTGGTGTGCAGAGGGCGCAAGGAAACCTCCCTTCTCTCATAAATCTACAAAGTGTCAGCACCGGAGGTGCAAAACCTCAACCTGAAGTCCCGCAGCCTGCAAGTTTAAAGTCTGTTTTCTAGTTGTTTCCAGTGGATATCACAGTGAAGACTCTTTCAAACACTGAATAAATTGCCAATGTGAATTTGTGAAGCACATTCAGGCAGATTTCACATGACCAACAGAATCGTTGCCCATAGATCAGCCGTTGAGAAAATACAGCAGTTGATGTCAAAAAACAAGCAAAAACAAACAAAAACAAAAAATCCTGCTGCTCATAATAGTGACAGCTATGGAAAATTATCTATAACAATTTAATTAGAACTTAGTAGCTTCAATTATATTTTATACATAAGCCACAATTAAGTTTTATTATGTTAAAACTTGAATAGTCTATTTTATTCAAATGAAAAAAATGTCACTGGCAGCTGCCAATTGAAATGATCTGCTTTAAATATAATCTTGATAAATAAATTCTTGCGCACTTGTCACACATAAACTTTCCTCCATTACTAGTAATTATCAAATATCAGAATAACTCTTTCTCTTTTAAATAATGGTTTATGTAAGGAACAATGACAGAAACAAAAGCACACAAATGTTCACTGTTTTAAACTGTAACAAAAATCCAAACACGTTTCGTACTTTTCTTACAAGCCATTACGCAAATTAAAACAGTGTGTGAAGTTTTGCTCTGAAAGACATCATTACACATTAGAAAAGTATGTTAATTTAAATCATAACTCAAGATATAATCTTAATTGCAGAAATAAAACCTTTGTTTACATCATATTGACTGACAAGAAAAGAGGAGGTGACTCTCTTCATCTACCTCACTGCTTAATGACTGTACTGATAAGCATTGCAATACACAATAGTAGCTACCAAATGGAAAAAATATATATAATTTTTAATTAAGAAAAATATTGGATATGTGAAAGTTCAAAAATGATACATGTTTAAATAAAAAGGAGGAGGAAAAGGAAGTCAGTAATAGTTTAGAGGTTACATGATTGCATAACAAACTAATTTATTTTGGACGTTTCTCTCATTTCCTACTAAACCTTGTGCAGGCAGTGCTATTTATTACGACAGAGCATGCCTTTCAACCTCAGAATGACCTGATTTCTCATTGAGATCAAACCCAGCTACAGGAGTATACTCTGTTATTAACTTGAAATATTTTCTAATTTATGCTGGCAGAATTCAGTGGCAAGATTTAACATTAAATACTTCCCCGGCCAAGTTCCAACATTATAAACACAAACATTTTAGACAGACTACATTTACTGTTCTACCACTAAAAAACAGCTAGGTGCTTACCTTGGTGTGTTATATTCCTGATGAGATCTCTTGCTGTTACTCCGTTCCCACCTAGAAGATGGCAATTCTACAGGCGGAATACCAGAAACTCCTGATGCTCTTCTCAGCTGTGGAGTTGGCAGGCTACTCCTGCTATTGAGTCCCTGTTGAGCAATTTAATTATGTTTAAAATTTACATAACTGAAAACAGACACTGACCTTTTATTTATGGCTTCTGAAGATAGGATGCAACACTATTAACTGCTTTTGGTAAAACGTGAAGGATGGTATCTCAGGTAGACTCTTACAGCTTAAGAAAATTAAAAAGGTGTATTTTAAAATATTTTGCTTATTAGCAAGAGCTTCCAAAGGAAGTAGGAATCCAGAAAAATGCATTCAAAGCAAACAATATAAACCATATTTGTAGCATTGAGTAAGGTTGGCACGTCATAAGTGAAGACTGGAGACCCCTGGATAACAGTGCTTCTAAAGGTCTGACAGAAGCAGTGCCATTGCAGTTCTGCAATAGCTTATAATACTTACTAATTTTAAAATAACAATTAGTTTTGCACAAATGCAGCAAAGAATATGCAGACAGAAGGCAAGGAAGGTGTCAGCTAAGCAAAGTACTCTTCAGAGTAATTTGCTACACGGGAATTAAGAAATTAAAATCCAAGATCTGAAATCAAAGGTACCAAATGGTATGCAGGAAGCAGCCTAGCAAGTACCAAAGGCAAGCAGGAGTCATAAATTGTATGACAGGATATTTGGACTGGTGCCCTGAGACAACTTCCAGGGAAGGAGAGGAAACAGACAGCTATAAATGTAAAGTTAGAGTCCAACTCCTCCAGACTGGACATTTAGGAGGCAGGGGGAAGCGGGGCGGGTGTTAGGGTTATCCATACAATGGATATTCTTCCCAAAAGAATTTCTCTTTGATAAATTGTTCGAAAACAGCAACACACTTTTAAATTAAATTAGTTTGACCTTGAGCAGTTTTCTCTCTCCTTTTTCAACCCAGGAAATGGTGTGAATGGATGAGCCTTTGGTTTGCATGTGCCCAAGAAAGCACCCATCAAGCTATTAATGCTTCGAAGTGAAGAAATCACTTGTGCTGGAAGGGATGGGTCACTCAGGAGGTCTGCTAGCATAGCCCGAGCCTCATTCAGTACTGAAAGGTCAACTCCATTTCCACTGCCGGCATTCTAGAACAGATGGAAGTATTGCAAACAATTAACATTTCACTTTTATGCAAGCTTCAAATGAGCATCTTATCCATTACTAAAATCTAGTTTATTTTTCTTCTGAAAAAAAAAAAAAAAAAAACAGGTACATTCACACTTGCATACCATTGAGCAAAATTTTATGTTCTGAGAATTTTTATAAGTAATTTTGTCAGAACTAGATCTAAAAGTCTACATATTTTCAATACTGAGTCTATAAATAAAATGGCCACGTTTTCTCATATCAAAAAAAAAAAATCTTTGTAGTGATGATTATAAGGTGATTTTTAACAAGTCAGAAATGGGTCACTTCTTTAGGGAAAAATGAACAGTGCTAACTAATTTCTGCAAAGTATTTCTTAAAGTAATAAACACTTATTTCAGCTCCAGTAAAATCAACAGAAATTTGGGGATGCCAAACCGTTATAAACATATAAGTATACAATATTGTTATAAGTACACAATGTCCACAGCAATTTAAGCCTAAGTTAGAATTGCCTCAGCTTCACTATTTTAATTATCCCCGATACTGCTGAAACAAATCCTAATAATTCTGTGAAAATGTGATTAGATGTTATTTAGCACAAGCCCCTGTACAGAAACAGGGCTGGCTGATTAGACACTAATGGTGACACAAGAAATGGTGGGGAGAAACAAGGTGTTAGGAAAACAGTGAGATCCTGCTAAGCCCCGAGTTTGTGGCATTGCTGGGGAAATCACTCTCTGCCATTATGCTGAGGGACATTTAAGTCAGCACTCCTTTCCTAGCTGGATTTGAGACTAGTTGTCACGTAATGTTCCTCACTGAGAAAGTGCATCGCCATCAGCTTGATGAGAACTGCTAAATTTCAAGTCTCAGCTACACAGAAGGAGAGTGCACTGTGACAACCCAGATAATTGAGTTCTCAACAGAAAACCTGAAATCTGACAGTTCACTGTGAACTCTCTACTAGATCACGTTATATTAAAGAATTCATAATAGACTGACCTGGTAATAGGGTTTGTACCATTGCTTCAAATCCCAATCCCAAAGAATCATCTGTGAAAAATGAAGAGTAAAACCAGGATATGTTAGCACTGCTAGCACTAAAAAACACAACAGTGTAGTAACTCATGTGATGCAATATAAAATACTTCTCCCAAAATGTCTTCATAGGGTGAAACTTATGTCATTGCCTCAGTTACTGTTATCAGAGCAAAAGCCCTGAGGTGCTGAATCTGCATGGAGATATCCTGATGACAGAATAATTATATGACCTTATTCTAATATTTCTGGATGATGGATAAATCATCTAATGTGTACACTAGGTTAGCTGGTGACAGTGCTTTTCTACTTGTAGTCACCTAGATTATAAAAGCAAACCTATTCTAAAATCTCCAATATCTTTTAAAAGAACCACTAAACTACCAAGAAAGAGAAAAAAAAGGGGGATGAGATAAGGGGAAAATAATGCTCCCACAAACATGTCTGGAATTTCAAAACATCGTTAAAAAACGCTGAGATTTTCACAAGTCTGCATATATAGGATTACCAAGAAAGCGCTGTAGGACTGAGCCTACAATTTTCAGTTATGTTCACTGACTACGCAAGTGCTGGAATCACTGTTTAGGAGATTTAGGGAGCTCTGGCCAGGAAGGTTGAGTGTGTGCCCTTGAGCAAGGGCCCCACAAAAGCTGATGCAGGTCTCGCACGTGGTTAGACAGCTTTACTAAGGAAAGGAAGTCTGTACGAGTGAACGATGAGCGTCTCGCTCCAGTTCTTCCTCTTTCTCTTTTCCACATAAGCTTCTGAAGTTACTAAATCCACCAAATTTGGGAGACAAACAGAACTCAGAAAATTATCACTGTACAGTTTGTGACTCAGGAAGGTGATAGGGGCAGAAGAGAGAATCATGTTCATTTCCCCTCTAAGGGAAAAGCTGGAGTCAGAGTTCAGTATTTACCTTTCATTTAGCTACAAACTCAAACTAATCAATCTCATTCTGACTATAAGCTATTTCTGTCCTGGCTGAAAGTTCCAAAAAATCTGAAGAAAAGAAGACATACTTGGAAATATTTCAGTGAAAAAAGGAAGGACAAAATAAGTACTGAAGTTAAAGAAGATGGAGTACTTTGACAGAGGTATAGAATGAAAGGTGGATCAGAAAAGTTAGAAACTAAAATTTATTATTTCTGCTGCTCACAGAACAAAATTGGTTTTCAAGAGGACAAGCTTAGACAATCTATTGTTTCTTTTAGATCCTAAACAGAGAAGCTGAGGGAAGACAGTCGCTTCAAACATGCATAAATATAGATGAATCCATAAACAGGAAGGAAATACGGCATATAGACAATTATATTGGTTTCTCTGCTAGTATCACTGCATTTTTGCCATGTTGCCCGAATACTTTCCCAATATATAACTCTTATTACTGAGACCGAGTCTTGGGTCATCTTTTTAATATGCCTTTATATCTCCATCACTAATTAAGATACTAAATAGCAGTTGCACGCAACAGAAGAGGCAAATAAATACTTCCATTGACTGTACTGTCAGTACATGCACTCCCCTACATATACTTTCCACATATGCGTTCCACATTCTACACACAGACCCTGATAAAATTAGCACTCTGAATGATATTGCCTTCACCTAAACGGACTTTTATGAGTATTTCTAGTTTATTTTTTTTGCTAAAATATAACTGCTTGTCTTTTGGTAAAAATCCACTGCACTGCATGACGTGTTTGCTCACCATTCAGTAATCCTGCAGCAGCTCCCCGAGAAGCCTCGTGTTACACACATCCAGCATCACTAATTATGCTCAGTAACAGACAACCTGTTATGCATACACAGCCAGGCTACATGCGACTTATTTTTCCCTGCTCTGTCAGTCCAATGAAATATAGTACCTATAGTATCGGGTCCTAAAAGTTAAGTGAACGTAATGGCTTTCTACAGGACATCTAAACAAACAAAAAAGAAAAAGTTAATTCAGTGATTTGTATCTAAGTTATTGTTACTGCATGAACTTCACGGATTTGTGGCTCTTTATATTAGCTGCATGAATAGTAACCTCCTCTTAACAATAAGATAGAGGATGTAATTTTTTCTTTACTATTTCTCAATTATTCTACATTATTTTTCAGCGCTACCCAAACAGTAGCAATATTGTAAATATGGCACAGAAAACACATACATTAACATAATTAGAAAACAAAAAGCCTTCCCAACGGTTCAGGTTAAAGATCTGCTGTATATTTTTAAAAGTATTTTCTTGCAGAAGAATTTTTTAGTCTCCTTTTGAATATGGTTACAAATCTACGTGTCCTGAATAGCTTCATAAAAACCACCAGAGCCACAGAAGAACGTCAGCAACACAAGCTGAAGATACTATCAGCTTCAAATACGTCAACTACACTCACTTCATTTTTTTCTACACTGACTGAAAATAAAAACAACATAGGAAGAAAAGAAGAAATTTACATGTCTGAAGTGTTCAGATTTTATGAGTTTTTGTTAACCACTAAAAACACCATCATTGAGAAAGGTCTACTTTTTCTTTGATAAATGCATGCCATGCAAATAACTGCATTTACAAATTAAACAAACATAAATATAACCCAATAAGCTACAGATAAGGTACCCATACCCTTGCTTGGTTGTTCATATTCAGCAGCCTTTGAAGTAATTCTGCTTATTTTAATGGGTGAAAGCTGTATTTGTTTCTGTTTTTCTATGTCTAACACCTCTCTTGTGGAGAAAATAAAGTTCTGGTCTGGAACTTGCCCAGGAGAAAGTATAGAAAGTGTCAAAAAGGAAAGCCAGGGTGCCCTGTCATCAGTAGCCAGGCAAGAGCAACATTTTCTCTTCTGTTTTCTCCAAACAGCCGCCGCAAACACTGTGTTTTTCAAGGTAACAGTTGTAACATCCAACTGTTATGTAAACTTAGTAGTTAAAATCATTAAGTATGCCCTTAAATTGGCAATAAGCTATGCTCTAGCAGAGGTCATATTACATAAAGTGAGAAGATCTAAATCTAAGAATTTAGAATTTAAGAATTTATAGTTCTGGTTTATAAAACTACCTCCTCCTTGTACTTTTTTTTTTTTTTTTTTTTTTAACTTGAAGCTACAAAGTGAAGGCCCAATCCATACTGAATGACGCATTTGGTTTTAAAAAGATCATTGTAAAAGTGAAAGCTTCATCCTCCCTAAAGTGAGTTACCCAGCTTAATGATTTTGAAACCTAGTTTAAAAAAAAAACCACCAGCTTCTTCATTTCCAAGTTTCCCTCTCCCAACTGACAGTTTGCTACTGCAAAAAGGCAAATCTTTTGGTTTCCGTCTGTCCTCCAAAGCACAGCGTGAGGACTACGTTAATCTGGTTCATTGACTATTGACTCAGAAAGCAGCAAAGCTCAGACACCCACGTGAGCCTTAGACTTTTGTTAGTTGTAACAGCAACCTTTGGTACTAATGGCCCACAGTTGCATGACCTTGCTTGCAACCACCACTGAGGGACACTGAAAGGTTTCTCCTCCTCCAGCTCTACCAGTATTTTTGTTCTTTAACCTGTGGTGCATTAGCGGATTTGCTGTAAAGGAGATGTTAATACTCATACCCTTGCAAACTCCAGAATTTTTCTGAACCAAACCTGAAACTGCAGCTACTTTAAATGGCACCACCTCTTTTGTTCAGCATTTTAGCTGTATATATACACACGCAGTCTACCCTGTTATAATTTGGAGACCAATCTGTAAGACTAAAAAGGTCCAGTCCTAGACTCCTGAGTGACAGCCCCTTTACTTCAGCATTGGTGTAGTATAGAAAAAGGCTTGAAATTGCAGAGGGAAAAAAGTACTCACTGGCAGGCATCATGAGTTGATAAAAGCTGTGGGATGAAAGTTACAATCTCTCTACCAGGCAAAAAATGAAGATCACTACACAGGGAATATTTTTCCACAGTAAATATGAGTTGGTAATTATCTTCAGTAATTAAAGCTTTATACGGTAATAATTAAAGGGGGTTTATTACCTTTTCTTGGATGTTTATATTAGACCACAAGATGGCACTCAAATCCAGAAAGCATCCCCCAAGCCCCCCCAGATCAATAACCATTCCTCACCATGAAAGCAGCAGAGATCAGCAGTATATTCCTTAAAACACCTACTGCAGAACAGGATTGCTCCAAGGGACAAAGGTGGGAGACGGTTGGAGATACATCAGCTGACCAATTCTGCTTCTTCATAAAAACGTTTCTGTTTAAAGAATTTACTCTGTAACACGGAATTCTACTCAAAAACTACCTGCAAGGAACTGCACTTAGTTTTTCAATACCTACTAGACTTGGCTTAGCTCAGCTGCATGCCTTATAACCTCACTCAGGAATATTCAATAGGGAGTATTCCTGGCATTGTCCTTTGCGGAGTCAGAACTGTATTTACTATGAACCACCAATAAAAGTTACAAAATATTCCCAAAGCCGCACTGATATTACAGCAGTAAAGGAGTAAAAAGGAATACAATTTATTTTAAAGTGAACTGACCTTAAAATAGGTCTTAGGCCAAGCCTCAGCAATCTTTGATTTTGCAAGCACGAGATATGTTGCAGAAAGAGCTGTCCTCTGTAACAGCAGGGTTTTGTAACCCACTTGCACGTTAACAGGCTTCCTCAGCTCCTCCAAGAGGGGCACCTGAGCTAGGAGGGACAGGACTCACAAAACAAGCAAAGCTGGAGCGGGCTCTGACACTGCAGATGAACTGCTGCCGAGGCGAGGAACCCAGCCCTCCCCAGCCAGCAGGGATACCAAAGCACCCATTAGCCTAGAGGAGCAGTTCTCATGTCAGCCTCACTTCAATCCTAGAGTCCTCCAGTCCAATTCACTATGGGCAATCCAAAGATCAATGAACACACTTTCCTATTTTTTTTTAAAATTGCTTGACCTGCTTTGAACCTGGCTGTATGCCTTGCTCATTATCAGGCAAACAAATTAAAACACTTCAAGAAAATTGAACATGTACTTTGCTTAATAAACAAACACAAGTAAGATGAGCCAC